CAACCCATACAACGATTTCTTTAACCTGCAAATCAAATGCTCTTGCTCAAGTTTACCCTTTTGTCTGCTTCATGTAAATATGCTCCGCCAGACCACCATGCAAGAAAGCAATTTTAACATCCATCTATTCAAAATACAAATCCCAAATGGCTATTAATGCAAGCACTACCCTGATTGAAGTATGTCTGACCACATGAGAAAAGATTTCATCATAATTTATCTCCTTATGCTGTGAAAATCTCTTTTCAACCAGTCGAGCCTTGAACTTTTCCCTTTCTTTTCTGATACTGCTGGGTTTTTTTTTGGTACACCCACTTGCAACCAATAGTCTTCTTTCCCTCAGGAAGCTGAAATAGCTCCTATGTGCGATTTTTCTGCAAAGACTCCATCTCCTCAACCATTGCACTCATCCATTTTTCTTTCTCCTGGATAGTGATAGCTCCTTGAAAAGTGGTTGGTTCATCGTTGCTGATGAGAAGTGCACAAGAGACCAAGTCTTCATAACCCAATATGCTAGGAGGTCTTATATTGGTCTTTATCTGTCTGTCTCTGGCTAAATTATAATTCTGCAGTTCATCTGGAATGGAATCACCAGGTGTTGGATTTGAACATTCAACTCTCTCATTGGGTTGTTCTAAATCCATCTGCACTGCATCTGAACAGGAATTTTTCCCTTGCTCCTTGTCTTGATTCTGCTGTAACATGGATTGTTCATAAAATACTGCATCTTTGTTGATTACCATCTTCTTTGCTATCGGATTCTAAAACTTGTATCATTTCACACCTTTCTTATAGCCCAGAAAAATGCACTTCTTAGATTTTGCATCAAGTTTTGTTATTTCATTTCCAAGTACATGCACATAAGCAGAATAACCAAAAATTCTTAAATGATTAAAATTAACTGAATTACATGTTCATACCTCTTCTGTGACCTTGCAACCCAATGATGCCCGAGGTGATCTATTGATGAGATAACATGTCATATTCACAGCCTCTGCCCAAAAACTCTTAGGAAGCCATGCATTAAGTTTCAAGCATCTTTCCCTTTTAGTTAAGAACATAATCATCCTTTCTAGCACACCATTCTGCTGTGGTGTCTTGCGCTCTGAAAAATGCCTCTGATTCTATGCTCCTCGCAGAACTTCTGAAACTGCGAATCTGTGTACTTTGTGTCATTATCGGATCTCAAATACTTGATCTTTCTGTCAGTTTGGTTCTCCACCTCAGCTTTCCACAGCTTGAATTTAGAGAAGACTTTAAATTTTTGCTTCAAGAAATACACCCAAACTTTCCTGGAGAAATCATCATTAAAGGTAACAAAATACTGAGATCCTCCTAATGATAATTTCCTGGTAGAGCCTCATACATTAGAATGCACATAATCAAGAATCCCTTAGTTTTATGTTTTCCATTCATAAAACTGTCTCTAGTCTGTTTTCTAAGAACACAAAACTTACAAATATTGAATTTGCAGCTTTTAACACCATGAAACAGGTTTCTTCTATGCAACTCTGTCATCCCACGTTCACTGAGATGACCTAGACCCATATGTCATAGCTTTGTACTATCATCTGACTCCACAGAATAAACTCCACCTACAGCTGTACTCCCCAACAGTTTGTAGATATTGCCTGCAGTTAACTTTCCTTTAATCACCGTCAGTGCACCCTTAACAATCCTAATGATTTCCCTATCCTCATCTATCTTAGGAATGAAACCATTTCTATGTAAAGTGCCCAAGGAAATCATATTCTTCTTCAGATTTGGAATATCTTTGACATCACATAACGTTCTAACTGTGTCATCGTACATCATAATCCTGACTTCTCTAATACCAACAATATTGAAGCATCTATCATCATCTAGATAAACTAAGTCAGACCTGTATGAAGTAAACCACTCTCTGTTAGGTGTTATGTGATAAGAGCATCCTGAATCAAGAATTCATGCATCCGTAAACTGAGTTGATGAAACTGAAAACATATCGCCATCACTGCAATATGAATTGTCACTTTGCACAGCATTTACAGACTTCAATGATGCATCACCTTTCTCCCAAGTCTGCTTCTTCAGCTTTGGACAATCTTTCTTCCTATGACCTGGCTCCTTGCAATTATAGCAATGAATTGTCTTTTTGCCTTTCGACTTGGATCTGGAATTTTGCCTTATAGAACCCTCATTCTCTTTCTTCCTTCCATGATCCTGCTTACCCTTAACATATAAATTGTCGCCATGAGAGCTTTCCCCTGCATTTTACTTCCGCTGGTTGTGAGCCAACAATGTTGCAGTAATCTCATCAACTTTGATAATTTCTTTCCTATATGTAAGAGTAGTAACCAAGTGTTCACAGGAAGAAGATACAATAAACACAACAAAATCATTGTTCGATCTTCATCCTCAATAGTCACATCAAGCCGTGATAAATATGTGATTATTTGATTGAAACCATTAACATGCTACGCCAGATCAGAACCTTCTTGCATCTTTAGCCCATACAACTTTTGCTTCAGATATAATTTATTCGTCAGAGATTTAGTCATAAACCGAGTTTTCAATTTCTTTCATATCTCTCCTGTAGATTTTAGATTCATCACGTGATACATAACTTCATCTGTCAGGCATAGGCATATAGTTGTCGCCGCTCGTTGTTGCAATTCTTCCCAATATCCATCTTCCATGACATCTGGTTTTGCTACACGCAAAGCTTAAGAGATTCCCTATTGAACCAACAGATCTTTTACTCTTGTTTGTCATAATCCGAAGTTACCAGTTTCATCGAACTTCACCACCTCGAATTTTGCACCAGAAAATGTCATTCGAAAATGATCCTGCAACAAATTATTCTGCAAATTCTTTTGCAATTACTTGCTCTGAATCTTTCTCAAAAAGATTGAAAATTTCCCTTAATTAAGTTTTTCACAAAGGCAACAATTTTTTTTTCGAAAAGAAAAGATTGAAATGTTTTCTTAATTAAGCTTCCTTAATCAAGTCCTCGTTAATTAAAATATTTTCCTTAATTAATTGAAGTTCAAAAACTTTCCTTTTCCCCATAAAGAAATAAAATCAGAACTTCTAATTTCCTTCTCCGCAACCTCCAGCAATAAAAATGTTAATTAAGTTTCATTAACTAAATATTTTCTTTAATTAAAGCGCAACAAAGGAAATTCCTCCAAAAGAAATTCAATATTTTCTTTAATTAAACCGAAACAAAGGAAACTCTTCCGAAGGAAATTTAGGATAATATTCTTCCAGATTCCTCTATGCTGCACTCCGTCCCCAGCGTATCGTGAATAGAAACTCCCGCGCAAACAGCTTGTGTCTCCCGCCTAATCTCGTGATCTACTGGAACTGTCGCAAGCCCTTCATCTCCGAACCATCCAAGATCGCGAACTCCTCTGTCATTGTTATTCCTGCGCCGACTCTTCCGAAGCTTCGCCAAACTCCCAGAATTCACAGAAGCCCGAATCATCCTTGAAACCTAGCCACCAAATTTTCTTCAAATCTTCTTTCTTTCTACGCCGGAAAATTCTATGCCCTCCAACCTCGCTCTGATACCACTTGTTGAGTAATTAGGGCGAAGAAAAACAAAAATTGACGCAAATCCAGAAGAACACCAAGATTTAACGAGGTTCGGCAAAGATGTCTGCGTCCTTGGGAGCAGAGCGGCGAATTCTTTTCAATATTCAAATAAGAGATTACAGCAATCAGGAATACCTCCTGGGTTACTAACAAGCCTATTTATAACCCCAGGAGTCATGCCTAAGTACAATGTAACTATAACATTACCCCTGTACCGTACCACGAGGTGTTGCCCTCGCACCCCCAACCCACATAACGCAACTTCCCGATTTTGACAGATTCTTCCACTTCGCTCCGCTCCGCTTCATTCTAGCGTTTGTCCCTATATGGTATATGAGTCATACCATAACATAAGACAAATAAAATAAAAAATGCAAATTGCAACATGTGTCTTAATTTATTATTATTTAATTGATTTTTTCGTATTATTCAAAATTGTGATTCTCAAATTGATCCAAAAATTGGAAAACAGGCGAACATGTAATTTCAAAATCAAATCAAATTGTTCAAAAATATTAGTTCGATTTGATTTTTCAGTTTTAAACAAAAAATAAACACCCCAATTGTAAAGTACAAGGTAATTTATTTTTTAAAATAATTATTTTATCATGTAAAAATAAATCTTATTAATCCCTTTAAAAGTGATATTTTACGATTTGTTGAGAATTTTTAATAATACAAAACAATGTGTTATATAGTAACATAAATTTAACTCAGTATTGAAAATAGAATGAGAAAGACTAACTAATAATAGAGCATAAAAGATAAGTGATGCCATTGAACTTTTCATTAACCCTTGTAGTAAATAACAGGGAGTATATATAGGAGAAGAAGAAGGTTCTAGAAACATATCTTTAGTAACCAAATTGGTAATATTTTATGCACTCCTCCTTTGGGACTACTTAGAATAATGATGGTTGAAGATGGTGGAGTCGCGCTAATAAGTATCTAATCAAAATTTACACCACCTAAGCTAACAAAAACTCACGATGCTCTTATCAAATTTGTTATCAAATAAGTCTCAAAATCCTAATATTTCATTACAAGGCCCATTCTTACCAAAATTTCATCCAACATTCAATTTAACAATAATTAATAGAGGCATTTACATGCATAGCATACATTTCTCACACCTAAACTTTCGTCTTCGCACATAAAGCACTCATATCTTTAATATAACATAAAAAACGATACTATTACCAAAAAGTGAAATATACTATTTCATGCAATAAACTTAGAAGTAGTATCTAAATTTATCTAATAAATATATATATATATAAACATGCATATGTATACTTGCACATTCACATACACATACACATACTCACACGTCTATAACGCTACACCATATGAGCACAGCCCAATAGAACGAACCCAAGAACATCTCTCATCCCAAAATATACCAAAGCATCAGGTCCACGTGTCAGGCAAAGCATCCAAAGAAGTGGATGGAGGAACCCTTCCTATTGGCCAGCAATCTATCCTCCTCCAACTCACAGATTTCCTTCAAGATTTTGTGACGTGCCAACTCTCGCAACAGCCACACATCTCAGATATATCCACAACACCACACGCCTCCCTTACGCGAAGATAAGCTACAAGAAACAAGCTAGCTATAGCGAGCTCACAGCCATGGCTGCCTCCACTGCCCTCCCCCCGGGTC